ACTTTTTTTTTTTTTTTTTTTTTTTTTTTTGACAGTAGCGGAAATCGAGAAAAGGAAAACAACCAGGCCTAGTTCCTACTACTGGCAAAATCAGGCCCCAATACCTGGGGAGGCTGGGGATAAAAAATGGAGGGTGCAGGCCAAATACATAATGCCGCATGACCCTAATACAACATATACGTCCTATACTAGCCTAGTATACAGGCCTACAGGCTTCGGGTCACCCGGGCGAAACCTCTACCCGGCCGTACCCGCCCACTCACTTTGCCAACACCCAGCCATACCCTCTAGAAACTTTCCCAACCCACCCAATTCCACCCAACACATTTTCACACCCAGCCAAACCACCCCACACCCTTTCTGCCACACCCGCACCCAACAAAAATTGTCGGTTACGGCTGGGTACGGTCCGATCGGGTCACGGCCACCCGTTGGCGACCTCTGAGAGAGAGGGATGACTGAGAGACCTAATGAGTGAGACCTCCTTCAGATGGAAGGCGGTTACAAGATTTAATGGCATGAAAAACTGATTTGAAAGGTAAAGTCTGACGAGAAGGATCAAGTTTTGTTTAGCCATTGGTGAAAATTTTGGAAGTTGCAAGAGTGATTTATTTGCGAGATGTCATTAAGATGTGTGACCTCCTTATTTTGATCAAGTTAAAAGGTTACGACCTTGTGAATCTGGCGGTGATTTTGTTTTGTGAATGTGGAGAGGATGCCATGTTCCCTGTGTTGTCCCACCGAGGACTCGTAAATGCCTTTTATGTGTGACAGACCTTTTGCGTAGTCCCGCGATAGGTCTGAATTGTTGCGACGCATCGTCCAGCCACTTGTGTTAATCTTAAGGCATTTATAAGAGACCCAACTAGGGGTTAAATTGACATTACTGAGGCGCAACCCTCAATGTTGGTTGTTGACCGGCGTAACCAGACAGCGGGCCCAGATCTCACCAAAGGAGCAAAGACTTAAACGGGTGTGGCCACCTAGGAGGGGATATTAGAGTAGCGCGGATGGACCGAGGGGTTCAGGGTCCGACAGGCCTATCCCCCTTGGTTTTGTTGTCGGCGACGTCAAAACCGTACTAGCGATTTCTTTTTCCTTGATCGTCGTATTCTAATGATAAAAAAATTCTAAATATTTATATTATTTATTGTCGTATTATTATTATTTTGCTCCGGTGCTCTTTGACTCAGGCGCGATGCTGGATTTGAAGGTCGTCGCAGTGGTCGAGGGCCTTGAGCACACGCCTCTTATTTGGTGGGCCCATTTGAATTTCCGCGTGTTCGGGCTGATCGATGAAATTTTGTTATCCTGCTCATCTTGAAACATGGACTGAGGAGTTCAACGTGCATGTGGGCCGAGAGGTGATTACCCCACGAGGGCAAAAGAGAACTCGAGTGGTGGGGGTCGCCACAAGTGCACCATCGATCAGCCATGATCTGTTGTGAGAGGGTTGAGTGTGGGCGTGCCTGTAGGGACCCGACTGACCGGGTTGCACCTGAGTATATGCAGCCCAGGACGTTGTCGAGAACAGGCTGCGGGGGCAGTTTACACGGAACTCCTCTCCGCTTCGGTATTCATAGTTCTTATTGGAGTAAGGGTTACTATCCCCAAGGTCAAAAGTTGAGTTGTTTTGTATAGGCCCATGCTATCGCCCTAGCAGCAAGACACGCCCCCGCCGTACTTCGAAGAACCAGAGCCTCCCCAATGGCTAGAAGTAGGAAGTGCGCATCAGCACCACACGTTTTTCTGAGCTAGTCTGTTGGGTAATTGAGTTGTCATGTATGCCTTTGCGGATTTCGACAGTAATGATCCCCGTCTCGCTACTAGTATCAGGTGAAGCACATTGAGGTGTTCGGAATAGAGTGTGGGGGGGGATATCGACCGTACCAGGTGGAGCTAGAAGAAGGGAAGGAGGATGACTGTGCCGGTTAGTAGCTAGTTTCTCATAGGTCTCGCGGTGTTGAGTGGTCGAGCTCAGCCGCTATGCTGCCAGGAGATGCATTGGCAAGGTAACGAACGTGAAATGGTCGAGACGGATATGGTGAGAAGTTGGCAGGACGAAGTTGGAAGGTCGTAGCGCTCTCGATCCCCGACTGGGTAGACGACTGACTGCGTAGAGATGGTAGAAATGAGCGGATGTAGCAGAAGATAAAGTCATATTACCCATCAATTCCCTCGATGAGATCGAACGAATGAAGATCGTAAGTTGGGGGGTTTGAGAGTGGTGGATCTTGGGGTGAAGTCAGAATAGTGTGAACACTAGTGTAGAAAGAGATTAGTGGAGCGGAGACATACGTGAGGATGACGTGGGTGGAGGGTGCGACATAGACGTGAGGCGGAAGTCCCAAGAACGGAAGTATTTGGTCGTGACGACTTTAAGGGCGAAGCAAGATTGAGTATGAGGGCAACGGATTAGGAGTTAGTAAAGCAGGAAAGCAAAAAATGAATACTTATCAAGCGTCAAAGTCTCGCTGCCTCTTCTGAATGAACCAAACCGCACTATAGTGAGAGGTTCATTCCTACGTTGTGCAGGGGAGAATCATGCGGCTGCTTAAAGTACTCACATATGAAACACCGAGAGGAAGACAATTGATGCAAGGCGCGTCTCCCTATGTGCTGATCGGTGAGGGGGATGTACCTGGGTGTGTTGTAACGGAAGGTCCACTTTGATCTCACGGTAAGGGCGGCTTACGGGGTAGTCAATATCTCTGGACGAGAACGGAAGACTCGTTCCGTTGAGACTAGCAAAGGGTGGAGGCAACGAGTATCTATCTGTGTAAGGCATAGTTATGACATGAAGATGAACAACAGACTAAAGAAGTCCAATTGGAGAGCAGTCACAATGGAAGTCAAAGTGTGTGCCTACCTTAGGAAACTGACGGGCGGTCGGCTAAGGGATTGGTGACATGCCTGTTAACCGTTCGTGGCCAAACTGACCATCGGACGAAGCAGCGAAGGCACACCTCATGACTGAAAAATTACCTGGTAGAAAA